CACACGTCGACATCAGACCACTTCCCACACGTCGACATCAGACCATTTCTCACACGTCGACATCAGACCACTTCGCACACGTCGACATCAGACCACTTACCACACGTCGGCGTCAGACCACTTCGCACACGTCGACATCAGACCACTTCCCACACGTCAGGACATCAGACCACTTCCCACACGTCGACATCAGACCACTTCCCACACGTCAGGACATCAGACCACTTCCCACACGTCGACATCAGACCACTTCCCACTCGACATCAGACCACTTCCCACTCGTCGACATCAGACCACTTCCCACACGTCGACATCAGACCACTTCCCACTCGTCGACATCAGACCACTTCTCACACGTCGACATCAGACCATTTCCCACACGGCGACATCAGACCACTTACCACTCGTCGGCGTCAGACCACTTCCCACACGTCGACATCAGACCACTTCCCACACGTCGACATCAGACCCCTTCTCACACGTCGACATCAGACCATTTCCCACACGGCGACATCAGACCACTTACCACTCGTCGGCGTCAGACCACTTCCCACACGTCGACATCAGACCATTTCCCACACGTCGACATCAGACCACTTCCCACTCGACATCAGACCACTTCCCCCTCGTCGACATCAGACCACTTCCCACTCGACATCAGACCACTTCCCCCTCGTCGACATCAGACCACTTCCCACACGTCGACATCAGGGGACTTCCCACCCGTCGACATCAGACCACTTCGCACACGTCGACATCAGACCACTTCCCACACGTCGACATCAGGGGACTTCCCACCCGTCGACATCAGACCACTTCGCACACGTCGACATCAGATCACTTCCCACACGTCGACATCAGACTACTTCCCACACGTCGACATCAGACCACTTCGCACACGTCGACATCAGACCACTTCCCACACGTCAGGACATCAGACCACTTCCCACACGTCGACATCAGACCACTTCCCACTCGACATCAGACCGCTTCCCACTCGTCGACATCAGACCACTTCCCACTCGACATCAGACCGCTTCCCACTCGTCGACATCAGACCACTTCCCACACGTCGCCATCAGACCACTTCTCACACGTCGACATCAGACCATTTCCCACACGTCGACATCAGACCACTTACCACACGTCGGCGTCAGACCACTTCGCACACGTCGACATCAGACCACTTCCCACACGTCAGGACATCAGACCACTTCCCACACGTCGACATCAGGGGACTTCCCACACGTCGACATCAGACCACTTCGCACACGTTGACATCAGACCACTTCCCACACGTCGACATCAGACCCCTTCTCACACGTCGACATCAGACCATTTCCCACACGTCGACATCAGACCACTTACCACTCGTCGGCGTCAGACCACTTCGCACACGTCGACATCAGACCACTTCCCACACGTCAGGACATCAGACCACTTCCCACACGTCGACATCAGACAACTTCTCACACGTCGACATCAGACCATTTCCCACACGTCGACATCAGACCACTTACCACTCGTCGGCGTCAGACCACTTCCCACACGTCGACATCAGACCATTTCCCACACGTCGACATCAGACCACTTACCACTCGTCGGCGTCAGACCACTTCCCACACGTCGACATCAGACCACTTCTCACACGTCGACATCAGACCATTTCCCACACGTCGACATCAGACCACTTACCACTCGTCGGCGTCAGACCACTTCGCACACGTCGACATCAGACCACTTCCCACACGTCGACATCAGACCACTTCGCACACGTTGACATCAGACCACTTCCCACACGTCGACATCAGGGGACTTCCCACACGTCGACATCAGACCACTTCGCACACGTTGACATC